AAGGGGACGGGCAGGACGACAGGACGAACGTGTGTCTTCTGATGATAGTGAAGATTTTGAAATGATTTCACAAGATGATTTGTCATAATAAATAACACGCTTTTACCAAAACTATCTGTGAGAGAATTTTGTTTGGTAGGAATAACATAGGAGCAGTAAACAAATTTACAGAATGAAACATTTTGCGGTCCAAAGAGATTTCACCTTCATAACATCATTAAAACATTACTTGCAGTTATTCAAAATGTTGCTTTACTAATTTGACAGTTCTTTCAGCTCACCAGTGAGAAGTTATTATGTATGCTCCATTTTACCACCTTGCTGTACGCAGGAAACTTTTGAACATTTTGTTTTGGCTGTACCCAATATGTCACTGCAAAGAAACCTTGGTCATGATTTTCAGATTTGTGAAACATTATGTATACTCCTTTCAGCCATTTTAATTTTGTTGCCAAATGCAGCCAGTCTCTTGAAATTGGGAATACCACTTTTGAATTGACTTACCGGTGGGTGGGTCAGTTCCAGATTTTGTATGGAAATGCCGTTGAACAACCACGACAGACTTGTTCGAATGAAAATCAAGAACACAGAATGCCTTATGCTGTCCACTCTTCGCCATTTTTCTTAGTTCGACTAATCAGCCTCCTGACGGAAACCAGCACAACGAACACGAAACTGGCAGCGGGGAAAATAAACTTTGAGAGATTATCTTCCGAAGCAAATATATCTCAACAAGAAAGACTCATTACATTTCGCGTAACAAATAATTGAAATTGGGAACATCATTTAGACCAGGGGTTATCAACCTTTTAATACCTACTGCCCACTTTTGTATCTTTGTTGATGGTAAAATTTCCTTACCGCCCACCGGTGCCGCACGTACTGCCCACCACCATGAAAGAGGTACAGCTTGAAGACTGAGTGATGGCCGGTGGTAAGCCCCGCCCTCGTTATGCGCACTAAACTCGTGCCTTTGGCTACGGAGCTCATTTGTTGCTCCTTCGTCCACGAGTATACTTCAAGAAGTGTCCGGTGAATTATTATCTATATTCAAAGTTTAGAGATGGAATTCAAAAGTAAATTGCAAAAGCATATTTTAAAAAGTCAAACTCGCGAAGTTGTTGGCAATGTATTCGATATATGGAGGAAAAACAAAATTTGTAACAATGGACAAAAACCCACACCGCCCACCATGAAAGCTTGAATCACCCACTAGTGGATGGTAGGGACCAGGTTGATGACCCCTGATTTAGACTTACCCCGTAATGATTATTTTTTTAAACAATAAACTTCATAAACAAATTTTGAAACTTTACTTGATTTATATAATTGGGCCACTAAAATGTTTTAAATAAATATTTAAGTAAATTATGAGCTGCATTCTTCAGTATGCAGTAATTACAGTGATTATTATATAAACATTTACAAAAGAATGACAGTCAAGTAATGTTGGTAGTGAGTTTTGTCATATTGTTTTTTTTAAATGGAAGCCTAAATATGATTGAAACTTTGCGTGCTTATATGAAGTAAGCCTTGTTACTTCTCCTATGCTAAATATCAGGCGTCTTCAAAGTGGCTAATGAGTAAAAGTCTGATGTAGCCATATCATGTACATAATTAGGCAGTAAGTTGAGGTGACCTGTTTTACTGTAAGATACTATAGTTGTTTTGACTAATGGTTTTGTCTTAAAATGTTGTTTCTGTTCTGTTCTCATAAATCTGTTATTGTTGGTTCAGATTTCTATATTAGACTGGTTTCTAGAGTCAGTAAGAATTATTAAGTTACTACTGCATAAGCAAACTTTTACCTGAAACGAATTTGGAAGTTTTATGTTTTTTAAAATGCCATTTTTTGAAACATGATTAATTTTTTTTACTTCTGCCATGATGATTCAATTGCTGCATCCTAATTGTATCTTGATACTGTGTGTGTGTGAAGATTAGATCTTTGTGATTGCTGTGATGACCATTTTCTTGTTTGAATGTGAGAAGGGCAAGGGTCGGTGAGTTGTACGATGAGGAGATAGTCCAGTGTTCTGCAACCAGTGCTTCACAACAAGTTTTCAGGTGTGCTGCAAATTTTTATAAGAAATTGCATATTCCCATGTCTTTCCTTTCATAATTAGAATTTGTAATACACACACGCACTGGTTCATCATTGATAGTTTTATCCGACATGTGTAATATTTTGTTTTCATACGCCTTCATTCTTGTAGGGCAAGCATTTACATGTAGATACATATATGTGGCTGTGCATAGTTTCATACCCCTTTTTTGTAGGGTGACATTTTGTAGCGCAGCATCGTGTGTCTTTGACAAATTAGGGTGTGTCACAGATGAAAAAGGATGCAGAACATTGGAATTCACTAAATTAATTCATCTTGTTGAGATGTGCTGTATCTCGTGATTTTTTAGCAGATGAGCTGCAGTGTAAAGAACTGAATATCGTTTGTAAGGCATGAATTTTCAGATCCTCATGTATAGCAGTAATAGAACCTGTCTGTCATGTTCATGGGAGTTGTGTCAAGGAATGTGTGAATGATGCCACGAATGATTCTGATCAGATTAATTCGCTTGAACATTTTTGTGCTGCATGCATATAAAAGGAGGTAGCTTGTTGGTCAGTTAGTGCACAAGTGAAGATTATTTCTGGTCATGGATGATTTGAATATGTCCAGATTTATTATGTTTATGTCATACCTGTAGTATCATGGGTTTATTCAGTTCTCTGACAGAAGTCAGCTCACCCAGATATAGAAACTAATATCTTATGATTTTTATAGGCTTTAGAATTTGAAGCGTTGATGATGTTTTTCTAGCTACCTGGTTTCCAAATTACTTTGTATTAGGTGCTTATTGAGTTCATAATTCTGGTGCTGTGTTTTAACACTTTTTGTGTCTTTTATGAAAGATAACATTTTGATCTCTTATTATATATGGCTCCAGAAATTTGCTTGCTGCACACTATGAGTGATCTAAGGGAGACCAGTGGTGAGTATATTTTTAGCCACAGTTTAAATGTTTTAAAGTTTAATAGGTTTATTTACATCTGTAAGATGCAGAAGGAAAATTTAAAAATGTATTTCCTGATCGGAACATCTCATATTTATTTAGTGTTCATAGGGAGCAAACTGCGAGACCAAGGGCTCTGTTAAATGACAAGTTGGTTTTGAGGAAAAGTAGCCTTTATCACATCCCCTAAGGCAAAAATAGTTTCACAAACATAGTACTTTTAAAATGTATGATTTTTTTTAAATTTTCTGGTGCAATTGAGTAGGTAAAAAATTAAAAAAACATACTGGAAGTGGGAGATTAAAGATACTGTTTTTTGTAAATTGCCCTTCTTCTTTAGATAATGGGAATGGGAACAAGCAAAAAATGTACAATGCAAAATGTGCATATTTCAGTCAAAAATTTTAGAAGTTTGGCAAAAAAGCATGAATAAAAATCACAAATGTGTGTCAGAATTATTCTAGCAGTTTCCAGCACACAATTCATGTGCCCACTTTTCAGTGTTGACAGCACCGTGTCTTCAACCACTGATTGTTGACACGACACAAATCAATTCTTAATGACTTGCTTCAATCACAATTTGACATCCATATTCCTTTGTAGCAGGTGTGCCTCTTTCCTTCAACTTTCCTGTATTCATCTGCTTTTTGTGTTGTTTTAATTCTGTGGTATTATACTTTTCTTTTGTAAAGTTCGGGTGGTCCTCGTATGGGCTACTAGTCAGAAGAATATCTTTATGAGCTCCTTTTTCTGCATTTCATTATGTGCTGTAGGTTTGGGGGGGGGGATAACAATATTTTATCAGTTGGGATTCATTTCTTTATTGGTCGAAAACCATAAATTGTGACGTTCATAGTGTGATAAAGATAATGTTGATCTTCCCCAAGCAAGTGGTGCACTACTGAAATTTTAGTGAGTCTCCGTTAAGAATGCTGTTAGGTGTGCTGAGATTTCCACTGGGAATAAATAAATTTTCAGGAAATAAACTTCAGTCAACAGGCCTTGGTCCAGTTGCTTGACACCCATTTGTTTAATTGGATATTGATGCTGCCTTGCCATATGCTTGTGAAAGCATCTAGGACAAGCAATGCCTTGTTCTCAGTTGTTCAAATGACATAATTGAAAAAATGAATCAGTCACTTCACAGTCAAATCCAAATTGATATAATTACTTTCAGAAACTTCAGCTAGACTTCTAGATGGTACACCAACTTGTTGCTTGAAAGTTGTCATTGGAGAAACAAACATTTCTGAGGTTCTCGCACAATGCACGAAAGTAGTGTTGACTTTTACTTCTCTTTCTCCACTAAAAAGTGCACCAATCTGATGTTTTCCTTTTTTACTGAGTGCTTTTATTGCTCATTTCTGAACTGTGGAGAAGCCTGATTCATCATCAATGAATTTTCAGAGTGCGTCATTGTTGTTTTCATCAATCACCTTTTACAAAGAAACCAGATAGCCTTTTTTCTAGAGCCATTGAATTGTGTTCTGGTTGCTGAAGACTCAAAGTGGGATGTCTGTTCCTGAGTGAATAGAGCCATTTTTTTTGAACTGATGTTTCAGTTAGTGTCTTTTAGCTGTTTCAAAGGCAAGCTTTCTCAACATCAGTAATACTCAAACTGAATACATTTTCTTCAAATTGAAAAAAAGTTCTTCAGTTTCTTCAGGCAAATCAGTCTTGGCAGTTCATTGATCTTTTCAAATGGTCTCACACACACACCTCTGCACACTGTCTCATAATGTCTCTATAATGAGAATATGGGGATACCACGCTATCTGCAGCATTCATTCATGTCCTCAGGCTGCTCAAACCATATTTTTCTCTTTTAACTGAAGCAAATTACCTGAAACAAAAT